AGAGAGAGAGAGAGAGAGAGAGAGAGAGAGAGGAGCGAGTGCTGCTGAGAGCTTGCTTTGCAGCAGCAAGCAGCAGCAGCAGCAGCATGTTTTTTTTGGTACCCATATCTCATCTGCTTCACTCAGTGCCATGTCTCCGTGTTCGGTGTTGTTTTCCTTTCCAGCTTTGGGTGGGCATTGACATCAGCCACACAGAGCACTGCAATGAGGTAGGGTGCTTGCCTTTGAAGTACGGAGAGAGAGGGGAGAGAGCGCGTGCGCTGCGCGTCTTCCTGGTGACAGCAGCACGCTGTCTTTTTTTTTTAGTACCAGGTACAACATATCATATATATGGTTGCTTGCAGGAAGACAGCAGTTTGATCATCTGTGTGTGTTATCCTCTTGTACAACAGCCCCGGCGAACACCGCGCGTGTCCTGCTGTGTGTGTTGGCTATGCACTGCGCGCAATGTCACGCAGTTGTGCGCAGACATGTGTGGAAAGTAGGGCCCGTCGCGCTCGAGGATGTCCCCTTCTTCTGGCGTCTTTCTTTTTTTGCGTTCTTGGTTGAAATTTCGGGCTGTTGGGGCCGAAGGGTCGGTTTGACCCCCGGAAGAGCCGGCGGGTAGCTCCGTCACAAAAGGGTTAACACGCGCTGTACGACGACCAGGCCGTGTTTTTCTTAATAAAGGTTGTGTTTTTCAACACGCGTTGTACGACGATCAGGTGGAGTGATGATGTTGTACTATGTAGGTTAACTCGTTCATCTATCATTACTCCGTCTGAAGACTCCGTGTATTTTTGACACGCATTGTACGATAAACAGGCGGAGTCGACGAAGTTGTACATTGTCCCACGTGGGTTAACTCCGATACATGCGCCTTCCTTGTTCTTGCTGTGGAAACCCGAGTTCGATTCTCGGATTGGAAGCCACTCTCCGTTTCTTTTTCTTTTTTTCTCTGTTATTAGTATTATCTATTATTATTTATCATTTCTATCATCATTTAGTGATATTTTTCCAACTGTGGTCACCACTGTGTTTCCTTCTTTTAGTAATTTATTCACGCCTTTTTCTCTTTTTTTTCTTCCTCTCATATCCTTGATTATTATTAGTTTGTTATGCTCATGAATCTGGAATTATTATTATTTTGAAGTCATGGAACCCCACGACTTCATCACGCAACCCGGGTTTACCATACACCAAGTCTTCCCCGGGTTCCTCCTTCACATCCCACCCACAAACGTAGACCCAAGCAGGCTGTCACACCTCCACTTGCTA